CCCCCCAGGCTCTTTGGGCTTCTTGGGCCTTCGCTTTCTCCAGAAGGATGAAGGGAGAGGGGGAGAGGGATGTGGCAGCGGAGGTGTAGGAGGCAAAGGGGCCTGACTCTTAGGAGGCAGTCTGGGAGTGCCCAGAGGTTTACCAGGCCCTTTCCCCTGACCTCCACTGCCACCTCCCACCACCCTCTTCCCCACCCCATGGTCCATGCCTTTCTCTGAGTAGAAGGCCACACTAGCTGGAGGGGGTTGAGGGTGGCCCCTGGGTATAGTCTTGGGGGTCTGGGACCCTGCCTGCTGTTCCATGCAGGACCCCAGACCCTCAGGGTCAATGGGACCATAGTATCTCTTATAGCCATCGAGTCCCCCACCTCCTCCAGCAGTTGAAGCCCAGTTTGGTGGAACCTTCTGGGCAAATGGTCCCATATCAGTGATGGCCCCTCTTACAGCCATAGGGTTGGTAGCTGTAGCAGATTTAGGCAGTCTCCAGCGATCCACAACAGCCAGCCTGCGGTCTGGCCGGGGCAAGAAAGTGGAGCAAGGGAGGGGCGCACCAGCGATGGGGGTGTTGGAAGAGCCCAGTCCAGTTCCAGAATGCACCACAGTGGGAGGAGAGCCTGGTAAAGGAGTTTTGTAAACAGGCTGAGGTTGCTGCTGTTGCGGTTGCTGCTGCGCCATGGCAATGGCTGGGTTGGTCACAGTTGTTGTGACCACATGTGGCTGGGATGGGATGGTAACCATTGCTGTGTGGTGATGTGAAGGCAAAGATTTAGGGCCACCTGGTGCTGTTTCATCCTCAAAGCTGCAGCAGCTATACATGCCCTATGTGAAAAAGATTGCAAATAAATAGTTAATTTACAAAAAATATATTTCAAAAGGGGAACCTACACAAATGTTTAAAAAAATCTGTTATCTTACACTAAAATATATCAACTTAATGCTTGTTTTAAAATACAAAAACACAACATATAGTATGTGAAGAAAACCATTAAGGCCCCCACATACTCAAGCGTAGTGTGGGTACTCGGTGAGCCGCGCAGATTTCGCACGTACTGTCTGCAGACGGTCGAGACTTCATACTCGAGTGTACAGATTTTTATTCTCTCGTGACAAATTCCTTCATTTCTCACAATTTCAGTCATGGCGTCAACAGACGAGGAAGAAGAGATTGCTTGCCTCTTGGCAAAAAATAAAAATAAAACAAAAGAAAAGAAGGTGGTACATAAACCAGACCAGGGATGAAGAAGGGGAATTTAATCCACCGGTGAAGGACATGAAGACAATGGACAGTGAGAAACATTTAGCATATTTTCGAATGGATTCTAGTAAGTTCGAGGGTGCTTAGCCTGTTTCTTCACCACCAGGGCAGCCACCATACTGTCACCACACCTGTCGCGCTGCTCATCATTGCATCTGATTGCTCGGACCACAGAGAGCGGTTGGTGTGGCATACAAAACAGTTCAATGTGATCACCGTCGCCAGGCAGTTTATTGTGCAACACAGAGTATGCGTACATGGTCATAAAAATGTATCTTTGCATGGACATGTCTGGCAGACTTCCGCTTTGAGTCCGCATTGAGTCAAGTACGCGCGGACCTCCACGGAGTGAAGTATGCCCAAGTATGTGGGGGCCTTTGTGGTGCAGATGTAATAAAAAAACTGAGTGGGTAAAACTGAAAACAGACGTAAACAATGACTCCAAATAACTTTCAGTTTTTATAATATATGGTGCATTGTGTCTTTAGATAACTTCCACTTATAGTCCAGCTGTGCAGTGTGTAACAAGTAAAACTGCATACAGAAGTAAATAAATTATAGTGGTGGAAAAACAAAAACAATCAATGTTGCTGTTACTCATATGGATATGGTGTGGGCTGTTTCAATCAAAATCACTGTCAAATAAACAAGATAGACAATGAATATTACAAAATAATCAGATGGCACAAGACCACACATTCCAAATGATAGTATAGAAAAGCACTCATCACAATCCATATAATGATAAAATGTTGCAAGGTGTGACAAGCAGTGATGAGAAGTACACTACTGAACACGTGTTAATGTTTTTTTGAGTGTCAGCAAAAGAGCAATGCATTTGCTGTGCTAGTGTAAAAATTCATATATACTACACACTAAGACAAAAACACTTACCCTGCTGATTGCCAAGAGGAAATCTAATTTGCCTGAACTTGTAGCCATACAGTGGCGCAGTTTCCAGTAGACTAAATGTTCCCAGGCAAACACCAGCAGACTGAGGCCCATAGCCACCAGCAGCATGTAGAACACCCCAGCCATGTTGTCAATGTCCAGTTTACTGCTCATCACCTCAATTTTGTCATTATGGCAGATACCTGACAGCCAGAGGCGCTCCAGCATCTCAATCTCATCTGAGGAGGAAAACAAGAGAGTGCAGGGTGAGGATAAAGGAAGAGAGACAGGGAGCAAATAAAGTCAAAACAGTAGCGCAGAGAGGAAAAACAAAAGGGCAGAAAAACACTGAGAGGAGTGGGGGCGGTAAAGTTCACAATGCAAACTATGACAGGAAAAGACGAGACATAAAACATGTGGAAAGGGATCGTGTTGACTATGGGGAAAAAGGTGGAGAGGTTTGGAGTTATTTCAGGGTTGTTTAGATAAAAAGCTAATAATAAACACTGAAGTGCAGCTATACTGTCTTCCTTGCTGCTTGCCCATTATTCAAGGTGACTTCTCTTGGTCACAGGTCAGTATCATAAAACACTGTTTGAAGTAACAAAGAGAAAGAAGACTGAGGAAAAAAGAGATAGAGAGTCTAAAACAATGAAGTAGCACTACGAAGTAAAATGGCATTGACAACCTAATCTAAACATTGTAACCAAGAGTAAATGAGGAGAAGGGATGAAAGAGAGACGAGAAGCCACAGTGATGGTTGGAAGGGTGAAACAAGCATGGACAAGAAGGGGGAGAAGTAATGAGAGAGAGTTGGGAAGAATGCCTCGGCATTCTGTCTCTGTCCACAAAGGCGTCAGGGGAAATGAGACGGACAGAGAACGTTAGACGGTGCCGAAAGAAGGGCAACATAGATGGAGAATAAGAGGCTGAAATTGTGCCATTATGACAAAGAGAGCAACACTTCTCAGCTTAAAAAAGGATGAGAGAAGGTAGAAGGAGAGGAGAGAAAAAACTGATAGGTAAGAGACAGAAAAAAGAGATCATAATCATTTAATTGTACTGGATGGATGGTCAGAATCTCCATCCAGCTGGTAAGCTATAGGGGATTCAAGATTCCCATTATTTAAGCTACCAGGAACAAGGCAAGTCTGCTTTACCCACAACTCTACCTCTTTATTTATGATTTCACTGTCATAAGGAATCTGAGCTTTCTTGATAAACCTGTGATAGCTTGCAGAGCCTGCTGGTGTAACCATAGTGATAGACAGCCATAAGATGTGCATATGATTCATGTTGGAATTAAAGAGACATATTCTCCAACAGAACTTGTAATGAGAGCTGTCTCTTACACCAACAACAATGGGAGCATGAGGTGCAGCGCAATAATGAGGTCTGAAGGTTGACTTTACTGCATGTTACAGCCTCTGAACTATAGCACATCAAATGGCTGGAGAAGGGTGACAAGTCACAAATCTACTCGCAACACCACGCCACACAGTAAAAAATCAAAGGTCTCGCCTTTGTATTACAGACATCGTTAGCCTGGCTTGTGAGACTTAGCTGAAGCTGATTCAGTCATCTGTGTGATCTGGCTAATGTGTCTCTCGTAGAACATTATTAGTCAATCAACCGTGGCTTCCAGCTACAGCAACAGATGGACACAGTATTACTACAGCCCACTGGCAGACTCAGGTAACAACTTACCATCTTAAGTTCACCTATATGTAGAGTAGACCCTGATTATGTTTACATATGTGGGATCAAAGTCAATCTGACACTGTGTGAATGGTATGTGTGGCTGTTTAGTTCAGTTGGACTCAAACCCTTAAAATGAGAACACTCAAGTCTGAGCACAACTGGGATCACCTTTTTTTTTAACCAATCTTGACTAAAACCATTAATCAAAACTAGATTTAGCAACTTACTAAACGACAGAGTAGACCAATTAATCAGCCAACATTGGCCACTTAAAAAAAACTGGCAATCAGCCATATTAGTACATACTTGATCAATTACCAAGAAGGAAAATGACAATGCAGCAGAAGCTGCTACAATCAGTTTACTGTAGCTCACAATGTATATTGTTTTTAGGCATACAAGTTCTTCTAATGGTTGTTAAATACATTGTTATTTAGGTTAAGCGATTGTTGATATGGTCTGGTAAATGAAAGACTAATGTTGACAAATATTTTTTTTTTAAATTGTTATTGAATATCGGCCATTGATGACCTGGTTTATAAAGATCAGCCGACTACATTCCATATCTTGGCAGCCTCCTGTCATTAAAAGTTGTCATTGACTATGAAATTCAGCACTACTTCAGCTGCGCCAGTGGGGTTTTCTCAAGGCTAAAGGAAAGAGCTTTTGAGAGCCGGCACAGACCAAAACCTTCATCTACAAAGCAGTAAGCTACCTACTCTTCTGTACACCTCAAAAATCTGGACTGCATACAACAAGCACTTGAAGGCACTTGAGGCATTTCATCAGTGTTTCCTGTGAAAAATCCTTAGGATAGGTTGGGAGGATTTGTGCACCAAATGCAGTTTTTCACAGGAGGCTGGCATATCTACAATTACTGCCACCATCGTCCAACTCCAGCTGAGGTGGACTGGTCATGTTATCCATACGCTTGACTCTCACAAGTCCTTTACTCCCAATTTGACAAAAGAAAATGTACAGAAGGTGGCCAAAAGAAGAGATTTATGACAACATCAAAACAAACACCAAAAGGCCCCATATAGACAAAAAACCTGGGAAGAAGCTGTTAAAAACAGGCCATCTGGAGAAATTGTGTCTGTGAGGGTGCTGCACTGTGCTAACGTCCGAGATGCCTTAAAAGACAAATGACAACATTTGGCACCAAACAAGCCCAATCCAAGCAAACCACCTCAAACACTTACCCTTGCCCATACTGTACAAGAGTATTTGGGTCCAGTATTGTCCTCCCTGCCTATCTGAAGACCCAAAAGGACCCATAGGAAGGACAATCATACTTGTTCATCAGTGATTGCTAAATACGGGCAGATCTGCATCAAAACTGGCCAAATAAAAACTCATATCAGTCTACGTCAATTCAAAACTTTCACTTTTAGGACAAATGTTGCTTGATTTTGGTGTTTTGTATTAAATGGTCAACATTTTTTTTATTTATACGTCTCCTTTGTAATTTTATCTGTCATACTGTGTTGGAATTTAGAGAAACAAATACAAACCCAACGTTTAAACTTAAAAATGGCTTTAGGACTACAGGAGTCTATAAAGGTCTTTAAATATGCTCCAGATCTTCAACGTTTACAGATAGTGTACTTAAAACAAATGGAAATTGTTGTTCATGCTGTGAACTATACTTTGTTTGAATTTGTTCAAAAAAGGTCAAAAAGAGAACAATGCCATGATAGTCACCGTAAGGTGGGGAAAAAAATCACTGTAATGTCACTTTAATCTGTGATATGTGATTTTATCTGTGCTGCTGATTATCCATGCTGCTGATTATCCATGCTGCTGATTTCTTGCCTTTAAGCTGCTGTATTCATACCCATCTACTCACTATAAACTCATGTTCGGGCTGCTGTTTAATACACCATATTATTTTACATTATTGGTGTTTAGCGTACTGTATATCTTAGATCTTTTACCATATCGTTAACGTTCATTTAGCATATATCTTAGATCCTTATACAGATAAAGATATTCTTTATTGTCATTCATAACATATTTGATGGCACTCTACAAAATTTAATGTTTGTTACTGACTTCTTAATTGGTGACTGTTGTTTTTATGACTTTTAATTTTGTGTTTTTATGATGTAAAGCACTTTGAACTGTCTTGTTGCTGAAATGTGCTATACAAATAAACTTGAGTGATTGATTGATTGATTGATTCGCATCACATGTGGTACATGTAGTGGAACGACATTATGTACACAGGGTACCAGTTATATCCAACAATAAAATGTAAAAGTAAAACAGTAATAAGAGCTACGATATGAACTAAGAAAAACATCAACTAAATATACGCTAAGCGTACTACTAATAGTATAAAAACAAACACAATACGCTGAACAGCAGCACGAACATGTCTGTGCAAGCAGATGATTATATACTGTTTTTTATATTTTTTGCAATTTTTGGATGTAACTGGGACGTTGAGTACACAATTTCATTCCACCTCATGTACCACATGTGATGAGAATTCGAGTAAAGAACCTTGAACCTTACATGATTGTTATTTGTAATTTGTGTCCAGCGAGAACCAATAATACGTGCTTCAGTTCAGGGAGTGAAACTATGGAATGGTCTTAGTAATGAGTTAAAAAAAAAACAATATATTAGTATGTGATTAAATAAATTGAAGAAGCTCAGTTCGTTATGAGTTAGAATGCAAATTAGGCAACATGTGCAGACTGCGAGGGCTTTCAGATGGTGGATCAATGGATTGTGCTTGTTTTTCTTTCTGTCTTGTGGTGTGACTTCTTGAATTCCAGGACAGACAGGTTTGCATTTTCAAGTCAAGAGCAAAGTCCTGTTGGTTGGTGAATTTATCAGTGATACTGACCTTCGGTCATGTGTCCTGATGAGAAAAACAGCTGGAACCGGAGTGAAGAGTTTGGACAGATAGCCTCATGTCCGTCCTCTACTTCACAAATCTTAACTGGTTTTCTTCTTTTTTTATTTAATTTTCTTTTGATCCAGAAGTCTCCTCTTCTGGGTTGGCTGCCATTTGACTCAGTGATTCATCTTTTAAATCTGACACTCTCCTCACTGTGTAACCCCCTAGACCCCCCCCCCCCCAACCTTTGCGATGGCAGTCATTTCTACCTCTCAGTCACAGCCAACTCGGGCCTGCCAAATCTGACAGGTGTGTCAAATCTACTCTCCACTTATGTTGTTTCTGGCAGGCCAGGTCAGGTAGAGCTGGCAGCGCTGTAAACGCAAGGCTCGTGTGCTCCGCAGAGACTTTCAGTAAAGGACACTGTATTTATGTATGTGTGTGTGTGTTTGTGCACGTGTATGCATATGTAAATGTGCAAGCGCCGCTGAGCATGTTTGCATTTTTAAGTATGCCAGATGTGGCCTGATGCCACACACACCCAGAGACGGTGCAGCTCACAGTTGTTGAGCAGTAAACCATGACCCGTACAATGCCATGCTTTTATCTCGACATGACAAACCTCTCTGCATTCACTGCAAGGTTTCATTTTTTAAAAATCCTGCTGGCCAAGAACTGAAACCACAGCTTCTCGCATTTTAATATCTACTCACTGAATAATGTATTCTAGGAATCAAAGTCGTGAAAAAAAAAAACTAGGAGTGGATCTGATAAGAAGTGAAAAGGAAATCTTGCTACTCAGCTCTTTTGGTTTAATCGTGAAACAATATGTAGAGATCAATGCAGCATCTCTTAAAGCTGTGGCGTGAATCCTCAGAGGCAGCAACCAGAACAAAACGCTCACAGGGTTTCCAAGTGCTCTGCTGTCCCCGGCTCGGTCGTAAAATTATACGACGCAACACAGCACGCAACAATAATGATGCAACACCGAGACACAACCGAAGGTGCAATGCCTGGGAGTTTGTGCCACAAAGTGATTTCTGCGATGCAGCCTTTAAGAGCACGATAAACTGATCTTAGTAATCCATTCTAATTATCTTCAAATAATTCTCAGCATTCGATGCAGAAATGCAATTCAGTAAACACAGCCAATGTTCATGATTTATATTAATCGAAGCACAGACGAGCTTATTTTCCAAAACTTAGAAGAAACAACAATCCCAGCACGTCAGGGCTGCTGGGCCCACTGTTTTACTTCCACATACACAAACACACTCAGACACTTTTTCGTTCCCAGGTTCAGCTATTCAGCTCCAGAAGCCAGTCTTATTTATTAGATATTGGCACCAAATGGGCATTACCAGCGAGTAAGCAGCTAACGTGTCGGCATGCCAGAAACAGCTAAAGGGCTTTGTCCGCCACGCCATAAGCAAAGCTGATTTAAAGCATGAGCAAAAGCCAAACAAGCTCGGTCCAATTGAGACAATAAATGCGTGTGGCAGACTGTGCAAAATGACAATCAGGCATTTATGTACTGACAACTACTGCTAAAAGCAGATCCCTCAGTCAAAGCCAAGGAAACTTCTCCATCTAGACACAAGTAAACAGACAGTGCACCAGTAATGCTCTTATCAGGTATTTATTTTTTCTATATACAGTATTTTCTGTGCCTCTCTTCCCCTGGTGCATTTCCAAAGTATTTTCAGGCATTTCTTTCAATTTTGTTTTCCCCTTCTCTTCCTTATTCTCAGTGCTTTTGTCAGTCAGGGCTAATCTGTATTTGTGTAAATCTGTCACCGCACAAGAAGGGGCTTTTTACAACTCTCACTCTCTCAAATAAATCCCACTTTTTTTCTTTTATAATGCCAAGAATAAAATTAAAGGCCTAGCGCTTCTTTAAGGAATGCATACCGCCAAGTGACTTTCATGCCAGAACTTTAGACTAGATCATCATATGATGACAAATGATGGAGCTTTAAAATAACATTATTTTTTTTAATTATTATTATAAGTTTATTCATTTTATATATAAGTTTATTCATTTTATAAAAGAAAAACCAAACAATTCAATATACAATATACAATAAAAGATATAACATGGTGCACAGTCTCATGTGATATTATGAAATGTCACATGATCTACTGTCAGTGCTTGGAGTTTTTGTTGTGAAACACTCTCAGCTACTACCACACCAGACTGTAGCTCAGTAGCTCAAACTGGATGAACTGTAGCATTTTTGTGCAGGCTAATTAGCTGTAGCAGCCATCTTTAATAGGGTCAGCACCAAAACTAACCATTTGTAGATGTACATTCGTTGAGAACTTTTGAGTTTTCATTCAAATCCATCCAGCGGCTCATAAGATATTTAGCTAACGATACAGACAAACACAGCAAATAGTGTTGCTTCTTTTGCCTTTAGCGGCAAGTGATGAAAAAGAAAACAAAGATAACCTTACCAAGAAACAAAAACAATACAAGTAATCTTTTGCTCTTGTAGGGGAACACCTCACCTCGGAAAAAGGGGACACCATCCCTCAAACAAACATCATTCCTGTGTTTCGTGTTTGAAACCGTTGAAATAAGATTCATCTATTCCCTTGGGAACGAACAGACATCATTTTACAATTTTAAGCTGCAAGAAACGGTAAACTCTAAACCCTATACTCTTCTCGTTTTTTTCTCATCCTGTTTTCTGGCCAACACTCTGTTGAATAAAGGCCCATCATCCCTCTCCATCACATCATTAGTCCCTCGGTGACAATCAAACCACCTTTCAGCTTTCACATGTCCTATGTCCTATATTTTCCCTCCATCCACTTCTCAACCTCCTGTCATTCATCTACCCCCTGTGTCCTCCTTCTGCCACCCCCTACAACCCTCCTGCCATGCTGTCGCTCGTTTCCCAACCTCATCGTTTTACTTATGGCCTTTTCCTTCGCCCCATCCGCAGCACTAATTATTTGTCTTACCATCTCCCACCAGCTGCAGCAGAGCCAGGTCAAGAGGACGTTTCCAGCGTGAGTTTTTGTGCAAGGCGATACCGTAGCCTGTGGTGGCAAAAACCTTCCCCGAGCCTATGGTCATCACCTTGGAGAAAGGACAAGTTTACAGATAATTAAAAGCTAGCTGCCAGGCAAATGGCTGATCCAGAATGCTGGGAGTCATCCCTCACCTTACAGCCTTCGTCCTTCCTGGCCATATAGTTCAACACCGCGGCATCGTAAATAAAGGCATCCAGTTTCCTGTGAAGGGGTAAAGGTAGAATTCATTCATCATTTAATGGAAAAGAGACAGCACAGGGATGGAGGAGACACCGGCTAAAGCAGAGGGGTGGGGGTGCAAAAAAAAAAAGAAAGAGACAAAATCAGTAGACAGGTACAGGGAATGATGGAGAGGGCATAACAAGTTAAATAATGACAAGGAGAGCGAGAAAGGGTGGAATAGTAAAGCGAGTTTGGCAGCAAGAGTGAAAACACAAGGAGAATGAAATAAGGCAGAAATCAGGTGTGGATCTGTGAGTAAGAGCAAGATGGTGGGGGAGGCTGAGGGGGATTTACGGAGTGACGGGTGCAGCGACAGGGAGAGCTGGAGGAAGGAGAGGGGGAGAGATTTACACACTTCAGGGTGGAAAAGACATGGGATAGAGGCAGAGAGTGATGAGGATTATAAAGTTTAAATACACGCACACACAGAGAAAGTGTGCTAGGAGGGGAAAATGGATCAAAAAAAGAGAAAGAGGAAGGAACTGTAACACAAAAGAGCAGCTGAGAAGAGAGAAGGGAAAGATAAGTCTTAAGAAACAGGGGAAAAAAAACTCCCAGAAGAAAAGCATGAGTTTCTAATATTTTGTGCACGTTAACGCGGAGTTATAATTGCAATGTCAAGGCAGTGTGGATCATGACAGAAGCTTAGAATAAAGCAAATTGGGATTATCCAACACATGACGAGTGATGGGAGATTCTACAGGAAACTGTGGAGGAGGGAAACGCCGCTCACACTGTACGTGTGGAGATAGCTGCAAAGGTGCAGAGAGAAAGAATAAAGGTGAGAGAATTTGTGCAGCAAAGCATGAAGTGTGACAAAAGATGAGAAATGTTAGTTAGAGTTGAAAAGAATGCCACTGTGGATGATAGCCTGCTGGTGATGGAGGGTGAACAGAAAAAATAAAATCAAATACCAAAAAAAAAAAACGATCACGCCTGCTCATCACTGACATGTACCATAAAAATGACAAAATATGACGCAGACAAATTGGATGCATTCTGGATGGAAGATTCTTTAAAGGAACCTCTTGGATGCCAAAGATCTAAACAAAGATCCTGCAAGATCTGTTATCGCTCTGATGAAGAGTTGGGGATGACTCTCAGCTACTACCACACCAAATGTTGGCTCAGTATTTATAAAACTGACAGAGCTACAGCCATTGTTGTCCATAAACTGTAGCTGCCATCTTGAATCAGATGGCAAACAATAGCATGAGTTTCAAACTGACTGACTGGGTAAAATTAGGGACGCACAATATTGGATTCTTGGCCAATATCCGATATGCCAACATGTTAAAACATATTTGGCCGATAACCGATGCCGATACAATACCAATATCGATATTTTTTCCTAGACCTATTTACAGAGATGACTAGCTCTGATGTGGAATTAAAATACTACATTATTCTGCAAGATCTTTGTCAGTTTGGCCTGCTACCAAATGCAGATGCCAAAAAGGGGCTGAAAATGATGTAAAACTTCAACTTGGATTATGTTTAGCGTCAAATTTAGTCATGACATTTACTCTCTCTAACACAATGACAACACTCGAA